TACTCGCCTGCCCGCGTGCCCGGGTGGGAGGGCGGAGAAGGTCACCCCGGCGCTCCTGGCCGTGCTGGGGTTGAACGCTACCACGCGGAACGCGGGGCTCCCACAGGACTCGCTCTCTTTGGCGTGCGGGTGACTTAAAACAACGAACAGGAGGCCCTGACAGACAGAGGAAAAACACATCACTGAAAAGAACAGCAGGAGGCGAAAACACCCAAAGAACTTTCCAGAAATTCATCGCTACCTCTCTCTCTCTGCAATCACAGCCCAGGGACAGCGTGCATCACTTCACTGAATCAATCAGAAATGGGTTCCTGTCCTTGCCGAATCAGAGACAACCCGAAGCAGAGCTGGCTGCTAAGGGCTGACGCGAGACAGCAGTGACAGCTCGGTGACCCCCTGGATTTATGCACCCCTCTTTCTGCCTGGAAAAGCTCAACTGGCTGTAGGATGAGGTGACATTTAAAGTAAAACTTCTGGGCCTCATTTTAATCCCAAGGAGCTTACAAATTTAACGAGAACTCCCCACAACCCAGCTCAGCTGGCAACAGCAGCTCTGAGAAGAGCCACGGCCGGCACGAAGCACCCTGGGGCGGGCGTGCTGACGAAGGGGCCACAGGGTTCAAGCCACTGCGATCGGACACGACAGTCTCATCCCGAAAGGTGAAATGCTCACTGGAAACAATCAAATCCTCGATAAACCACTAAAATCCACCTGGAATCACAGCACAGGCGGAAGCGAGCGGGAAAGAATCCTTAGTGGGAATCTCGGTTTTAAACAGGCCCTGTCCTCGGGGGCAGATGTAAATAACGAGAAGCCCAGCCCGGTTCCATCACCAGGCCGGCAGCGCGGTGGAAGGGGCTCTGCAAGCACCGGCACCAGGCAGCAGCACTTCTGCTTCCCGCACGCGAGGCGCTGCTGCCCTGGCCCACACTTGGACGCCCCACTCTCATTTTGTCTGTACACTGCAGAACGCCACAAATTTGAGGCAGCCAGTGTGGCTTATTCCTCCTACTTCACCTGTCTTCCTTTGAAACATCTTCAGAGCACCTAAACAGAGGAGGCATTTCAAGCCGCTCCAGAAACCCCACCCCTCCAAGTCCCCAGCACCGTCAGTCCGTGCAGTCCAGGCACAAACTGCGCGTCCTATTTCGCGTACGTACCGAGTCAGAGTACGCTCGGTGGCAGATCGAAGCTGGGTAGGAGTAACCAACGTGCATCTTCTTCAGCAGCTGGCCTGTTTTCAGATTCCTGCGTTTGGCGAAAACACAAATTCTGGCTGCATTTCCACCCTCTGTCTGTTATTTTCTAACCACAGCTACACCACTACACAAGATGGACGTAGTTTTGGTTTCACACAAACCAAGCCAAGACAAGTGGCTGCAGGAAGAGATGCAACGAATACGATGCAAAGGCAAGCAGCAGTACCGCAGCACAGCTCATTCACTCTCTGCCCAACCGTGCGGCAGCTGCGGTGCCAGACCGCAGGCCCTGTGACCGCTGGCACCTCACAGGCAC